CTCAAAACTTCAAACTTTATTAAAAAGCTTGTTTTGAGTCTAAACTTCAAAAGAAACATACCATCTTGTAGTGAATCGAATTCTCTATCGACTAGTGTGATCTTCCATTTTTTAAGGAAAGGTGTCTGGGTCAGGAAATTGAAAATACAGTTTTCAAAAAACGTAAAACTGGATTTTTACCGCCAAAATTTAACTTTTTAAAAAAAAACAATGTAAGATTCGTAATAGCATCAAAAACTACATCTAGTGATGTGCTTCTTTCAGTTCTACCCTAAAATAATTTTTTCAAAAACTTGATCAGTGAAGTACCGAGTTACGTGGACAAGCCGTCTAATAATGCTGTAACGTAGTACACATCATAGTTGCATATTAATGAATGTCATGTTTAATCCTTGTTTGTTTCTTTTTTAAAATGTACTGAATGTCAAAATCTTAATTTTATCACAAATATAGAAACACTGCATATGTTTTGATAAATCTCTATTTTACCAGGAGTTGCAACAATTGAATAGAGTAATTAAGTTTTTTATTAATACCATAAGTGTACTTAAAATTTGAGAAAAGAAACCCATTGTTTTGTAAACAAAACTTTGGATGATTCATATCATAGATGATAATCGCATTGATTCGGTTTCGTTCTTTTTTCGTGCCGATATTGGGTTTACTATGGACATTGTCATGTATCATGAGTGCACCGTTTGAATTTCTACCAATAGACATGTTACCAAATTCTACAACGTATCGATTCAATTATGATGGAAAGTTATTAGGAATGAAAATATCTGGTGTTTGGTTTGTACAAGCACTTTGGTCGAACAACAATCAAGAAATTGTTGGCTATCGAAATTGGCAGAGCATAATCGGCGATTTTTCTGAAATATTTTATGGTGTGTCATATTTAAATGGAAGTTATATTCAAGCATTAGTAGATCCAGTTAACAACACGTGTATACATATCTTTGTAGAAACTGTTAATTGCACAGGATGGTTACAGTTTGAAGGCCAGAATCTTTCCAGAAATACATGTGATATACAACGTGATGGAACAGAAATTAATGGGCAAATGATAATTGATATTACTTCCTCAACGATCGATCGAACAATGCCATTCAATTTCACCGCAGTTATAAGAATAGATAATCAAGAAAGTGAAGTTATTATGATTTTCTCAGAAAAATATACGGACTCAACGATGCCAGAAGTCCTTTGCTTTTTTTAATTACAAGCTATATTTGCTTTTTTTTAACAATAGTTGTGGTTTATGTTTTGAAATAAAAAGTCAGAACTATTTTTTATAAATTGCTTACGCTCGTCATCAGTTATCAAATTTCAAGCAGAAATCAGTTACCAATCAGCATCTCTAATATCCTAGTGTTGCTAGTTACACATTATCCTCACAAAATAATTTCTAGATTTAACAAGTATTTCTAAACCTCGCGGTAAAAACAGAAATACTCCATATTCGCGGCAAAATAATGAGAGTTTATTAATTATGGTGTCAAGCTGTTTGTAGTTTCTAACATTGAAATCATTCTTCATATTCTTCTTTAAATAATATTTGGTAAGATTTTCGTCTATTTATTTTCGATTTGTAAAAAATAAAAGTCGACAAATATAGAAAATTCAAAAAAAGAAATAAAAAAGCAGAAAACAAAAATCGGTTGAAACGACAATCACATATCCAACACAAAATTGTTTAAACCTTTCTGAAAAATTTTTGAAAAATTTTCAAAAACAAAAGAACGATATCGGACTAAATATCATCAAGACTGTTGCATTCTAGAACACTTACACACCCGCACACTCACACACACACACAGACACATACACACACTAAATCAATCAAACACATGCGAATTTGATATTTACAAACAATAATAGAAAAAAACAGAAAAGATGAGAAAAAAAGCGTCAGAAACAAAAAATATGTTTTGTTTTGACTAAATACAGCTTTCTCCCATCTATAAACTTCTAACTGTATGTAAAACGAAAACAAAACACACATATTCTAAAATAAGTTCATATACAATATGCCAGCTCTTCAGCTAGAAACTAGAAAGATCGTTTCGGAGCTTTCATTCTAGTACGATCATACATATACACTGGCTTTACAATAGGTACAAACGCATGCAAATTCTACAAACAATGAGAGAGAAAAAAATGTAATAAACAATAAAGAGTTTAAAAACAACGGTTTAAAGAGTAGTTTTTAACAAGTGAAAATGTTTTTCGAATTGAATATAAATAAACAAGCTTGACCCCAACTTGTAGTTGACGTTGAATTAAGCTTACACAATATCGCTATAATGAAACAAAAAAACGATATAGATATAAAAATAGAAGAAGATATAGTCTTATTTTTGCTAGTCACAATGTTACACTATCGGATTTTTGGACAAGTTTTCTTTTGAGACACATCTCTTTCACAGATTAATTAAGTCCGTATATGATACTTTGCCCACTTCCACAAAAATTTTCTACTCGATATGTCCACAAAAAAAAAACGGCTCGATACGTCCTTTCGGTGCAAAGATATGGGACTCGAAAGTTGAATAAACTAAACTTTTTGATGACTCATCATCTGAAAACTGAATTTTTTTTGTTTTTTTTTAATTATATAAAAAGATATAAAAAGAAAAGGAAAGCAGCGCATCCTGTAGAGAATTGAATTGTAAACTAACCATATGATCAGTGTTCAACTTTGTTTACTTTTTTTGTTGTTCTTTAGATATAATCATTTTATAAGCATCTTTTCCGTTTTTTGTAGACCGACCTTCTCTTACAGTTTTTCCCAAAAGTCCACCACTGAAGAAATTTTTGGAGTGGCTAAATTGTAGATCAGACGTCGATCTACAACTCTATTTAAAAAAAATCCAGTTTGTATGATTTGGTAGAGATAAAAACAGCTTTCATTCTTGCGGAAGTCAATTTCCGCTCTAAATGTAGACTGACTTTTTGCAACTTGTTTTGCTCAGAACTAATGAAGCATGCATTCGTTCTCGATGAAAC